TGCATTCATAATATAATCATATGATTAAACAGAATATAACATCATAATCTTTTCACTCGTGTCTATCAATTTTCAAAAATAGCTACAATGTCCGACTTCACGCCCCAGGGGCGTCTAGTTGTATTTGCATCTGGACTTGACAAGAAAATCATTAAAACTTAACTCAAAAGACTTCTGCAAAAGTACAAATTTAATTCTTGTTAAAGCATCATACAATGACTAACCTTATGTGCAGATTGAACAGCACTGTTTTCCGTCAGGCGTCTTTAAAGAAATGGATGTTTTTTGCTGGTAATTCGACGACAACAGCAATGCATATTGCAAGCATGTTATTGTGCGCATGCATGCCTAACTACTCGTGCATTGTGATTTAGGCCTGGTYACTYTTTGACGCTGGAGGTGTAAAAAGTTGGTAAAGAATGATGTTTTGATCAAGCAATGCAGTAAACAAAGGAACCGGCATAGCTATTTAGAAGGTATAGTCAGGTTTGATTTATCAGGGGCGTATCCAGGATTCGTCGTTAAGGGATCCCTACATACAAAATTCTCTGCATGACGTAGTCACATGCATTACATTAATGTGACGTYAGAAATATATAGACGTCATCGGAATCTATTGTTTTAAAACGTAAAAGATTTAAAACGTGAAGATTCATAATGGACAAGTGAGAAACCTAATTTCTTCATCTATAATAAAGMCATGTCTAGACAACTCTTCGCATTTTGGTGAGATGTGCAAGTTTGTTGATTAATCAAGTTAGTACATAAGTGTTAGATAAAGCCAATATCATTCACGATGTACAAACTCAATATCCCTCAATTCCCAACTAAACAAAACAACACAATGTCCAATGATTTTGATTTATTGACTTTTCACTTGATTTTTCTATGAATCTATGGTAAATATACACTTTATTACTTACTATTTACAATCAAAWTTACTCGTTATTTCAACGTTTTACTCAGATTACATATTTACATTGAGTCTCAACTCAAACCCGCGCACCATTATATCACATACGTAAGATCAACGTACTACGTAGTGACGTTACGTATAACGCGTTAGTATCGTATGGGTCAGTTAATTTCGTTTCTATTCGGGATCGCTTAACGAAAACGACGACTTATACGTATCGGTACACAAATGCGCACGTTTCAGTAAAATTAAGCAATGAAAACAGCTAGTAACCAGCACTTTTTTTACGCACCAATCACGTATGTCCTCACGTATGCAATATACGTAACGCATTTCTTAAATGTTAAAATACGTTAGGCAACATAGTTGCGTTAATTTCCAGTAAAATTCTCCCGCTAAATTATCACGGAATCGTTACGGTTTGCTAACGTATTTACGTTTCAACGCCGGTTTAATTCTAATATTCACAAAATATCCTTTCCTTCCCTCCCCCCCTGGGTAAAGACCTACGCGTCCTATCCTTATACAAGGTAAAGAACTAAATCTGCTAATCCTTCTTTCTCTATGTGTAAGAAATTTATAATATACATTAACTATGAGAAGGCAAATTTGGAGTTTGACCGACTCCCCCCGTTATCTATGCCACATTAAAAGAATAATCGGCGCAGATCAGGGGGGTAAGATGGTACATACCTCTCTCATATATTCCCTTCAAACCCTCACCCAATGTATTACTGTCAGTTCCTTGGAATTATACTAAGCTTGACCATACTCCCTTTCTGTTAGAAGTTATATACAACTTCCTTACCAGTCTAAACTTACACTGCTCCTAAGTTAAGCACTCTTTCTTCGGTCTACCTTGAGTTTACGTCTAATTTGTCGTATACAGCCCCCTTAAACTATCTTATGCCTTTCCTAAATTCACGTCCAATTTGTTGTACAACCCCCTTAATCTTTCTAGTAAATCTATACAAAAATTACGTCCAATTTGTTGCCCCCTCAACTCTTTTTTCAGTCTCTCCTAAATTTACGTACAATTTGTTGTCCAGCCCCCTTAAGTCTCTTGTCATCCTCTCCTAAATTCACGTCCAATTTGTTGTCCAGCCACCTTAATTTTCGACCAGTCATATTTACATTAKATGCTATTATCAATCTATGATGGGTACTTTTTGCCACTTGGGTCTCGACAGAACTTGTATGTCAATCGTTGTCCGTTGACTTTCGCGAGGATGTTCTTTGCGTAATAGTAACGTAATGCACGGCTTAGTTTATCGTACGTCATGTTCTTACGTTTTTTGTGTTTGCCCCATAGCTCTGCCACCATGTGATGGTCTACCATTCTGAAGACTCCCTTGTGTGGATTCTTCCAGGCAATACATTTCTCATAACGTTTACTGACCAGTAGGTAATGCAGAAATTCCCAAAGGTACTGGCAGTTTGGCTTGGAACTATCTAAAAACAAAGTTACCACAATCGCGTTAGTAAGTGCAAACGTAATTAGACTGAGCTATTTAGTGCTGTTTATAGAGCAACACATAAAAATTTAAGTTTTATGTCTTTTAATTTACTTCAGATTTACCTTCATCAGCATCATCATCCTGCTTTGATTTCCTATGACTCTTTTTGCTCTTTTTACTGCTTTCTGGAAGAACATTGGTGAACTTAATGACCATTTAAAAAAAATTAATCACAAACATCAAGCATTTTGTTGATTGTAATAAGTGATAGTGATGATGGTAATGATGACAAAATGCTTATACCAAACTACAACATTGACAATAACTCACCGTCACTTGTCCCAGTACAAGTTCCCGTTCTCTTTCTTCCATTTCTCTCAGACTTTTTTATCACATCCGTTTGCTCAGTTTCTGAAATTGAAATCAAGCCAAAAACAATTTAAATGATGAAGATGAAATGACAGCAAAAAGTATCGAAAGAATGGAAAAGGGAAATAACAAGACAAAGTGAGAATGAAAACAAAATAATAATAGTCTTCTTCACTGTTCCCTGCGCCATCTTGAAAAGTAGCTGTGCCTTTGGATCGAAGCGAGATGACMGTTGAGCATGCAATGATAGAAACCTTCTTTCACACCTACAGACAATTATTCACAGGTTTCTATCATTGCAAGCTCAACGGCCATCTCGGTTTGATGCAAGGCATGGCTACATTTCAAGATGGCACAGGGAACGGTGGAGGAGACTATTGCAAAGAAAGGAAGGGAAAAGGGAAAAAGGAAGGGAAGAACAAGAGTTTCTTACCATGCAAGTCATCCATTTCTGCTTCAATTCCTGAATCACAGCTTAGTTCGAKATCACTGTCTGACATCACCATGTCTAAATTGAATGTTGACATTGTCATTCATTGAAATGCCTTTTTATATCACTTTGTTTACCCATCTGACTATTCAATCATCTATATAATCATTAATTCATCCATTTGCCATTTCATCCATCCATGAATTCATTCATTTACAGTTCATTCCTATTTCATCCCTCCRTTTATCCATGCACTTTCTTTTATCCCCTTCTCCATTTTACCTGTTAGAAGGGTAAGATCTGCATCTTCTGAGAATTCTGACAGGTCTGAACATTCAGGTAACGAATCCTCTGATAAGTCCCCGAAAGCATCATCATCTAAAATAAACATGATGAATCAATAATCATTAATAAAGCATTAATAGATTACAAATATATACAACTCTAAGACTTTAAAGCAATACCTTTCTGTTGCGTTTCGATTTCTTGTTTTTCCTGTGAGCTTGTTTCAACATCTACCACAGCATCAAACTGTGTATCTTCAAACGGACCAAAAGTTGCATCTAATTTCCCATCTAAAAGATTTTAAAAATAGTGTTCTCAGGAAAAATTGACAGGTGACAGCAATTTGGTTAGCCTAGTTGTAAGTCTATTTCATGCAACTCTTTTTAATATAAAGACAACTAAGGCTTAAGTAAGTCAAAAATTAATTTGATTTCATTTTGAACAACATGGAATGAAAAGACTACTTTAAGTATTTAGTTAGTTATTTCTGGTAAAGCGCAAAAGTATCAGCAATTATCCTAACTATATTTCATGACCAAATACAGGGCTTATTAAAGTATTGCTATTTAGTGTGCATGTGATAGGGGCTTCAAGTTTATAATTCTTAAAACCATTTTTGTAGAGTACATGCAAACACTAAAAGTGTGCAACACTTTGCACTATTTACCACAAAATAGTTCTAATAAACAATACAAATAGCATAATTTAGCAGTATTTAAATGGTATTTATGTTGCACAGTTTTAGTGTTTTTAATCTAATTACCTGTGATTGTGTATCCACTTGAATACAGCAAACTCTGTATTGCTTCCAGCGTTATCGTCGTGGCAATGATTGGTGCTGCAGTGGTTATTTTTGCTTCAGTCATTGGYGTTGACAGCCACTCCTCCACAAAACTATTRTTCTCATTGGGACTTTTGAACCAYTCCTTTAAAAACACAKTCAAGTTAYTATGGTTAMAGTATATAATTTGGTTGTMGAGGCATTTCCATAACAACATCACATGGGGATAATAGTACTCCCCTATAATATTCATGGTTGTCATAGAAATTTCCTAGCAACATTACAATGTTACCATAACATTATTTTAATAAGTTGTCATAGCAATTATCACCATGGTAATGATACTCAAGACAATATTTGCCATAATAAAAGTGATCTAAACAAATATGTAAGTGATGCAATTATATACTAAAACAAGTATATTTATGTTTATTCATTGTATATGCAAATAAAAAATAAATAAAATAAAAATTAAATTGATAAAAATTTCATTTCAGACTTTTGAATTTTTCCAGACGTTTTTGTAAAAGGAATGTATAAACCATTGTCATTGTAATCTCGCTAAGGTTACTCGAGGGCAAACATGCCCCTTCAAACTTCCCTAAATTCCATGAAGGAACAATTCATTTAACTTCAGGATGCGCCTTAACTTGAGCTGAAGCAAATCCACCAAGCTTTGTGGATAAAATATTCACAGCTTATTTGCTTCAAAAACCTCAAATTACGATATAAAACTCTTCTAGTGCTATGGTCGTGTTATGATATTACTGATGCCATGCGTGACTTTCTCTTTGCAAATTGAATTTATATGTTGTTAGCTATCAATAGTTTTGAGAGTATTAAAGTGATTTTAATTTATATTTTTTTCGTACATTCATTTCATGTAAAAGAAGTTGATRTATTTTCAGTGGTTAAAATTTGAAAGTTTTTTAATTTATTGTATGTGCGAATCAATGTTATTGAAGCGTAAAAACAAATTGCGAATGTTTATATATCGACATTTTGAATATTTTTCGATATCTACAAGTTTTTACCTTAGAATCGGAGTTGAATAACTTCTTGAGCGATTCGGTCTCGTTTAGCAGTGCAGTAGCCATCCAATTACGAAATAGAAATACACACTACCAAGAAATCAAAACAATCATTTAAAAACACGCCAAATGACTTCATATTGGAGCACAACATCACAAAATTATTCTTTCAAACAAACAAAAGYTTTTGAATTCGTTTTTCTGAYTGTACGAGTAGTAGCAATCTTGAAAGTGCTAAGTAAATTAAGGAGGTTTTCGAGTAGTATTTTGGACGCAGCACGACTCCAAAGGCGACGATCGCATGATTTAATATTCAAATTTCAGCACAAATCTACAAATCAACTTTAGCCAAGTTTATGAACCYAAACAATCAAAATTCTTACCTAAAAAGCAGAAAAATGAATGTCTTTGAATCCWCAAAAGTGAATTTAGCTCTAACTTGGTGGTGTAGACAAGTCAGGACAGAGCAATTCCGAGAAGGCACGGCAAAGCATCGAGGTCATAGGCTTTGGCTGTGGAAAACCCCTGATTCCGCGAACCATCTAATTTCCTGGCTTCTGATTGGCTAAATATGAGGTCAATACCATAAATGGATCCCTTGAGGCATCACTGAAAACTCACATGACTCTGATGACGTAGWTGATAAACACTTTTAACCAATCACCATCCAGGAATATTAAATTGACGGGAAACCCCATGACGTCACGAGGGTAGTAAATGTCTATTTTTGGAAAGCTATTGTGGCGTAGAAAAYGAAAGATTTTGCTTTATTTTTGTACTTTTCACAATAAAAACAATTCATTGAGCTAACCAAGCTTCATGAATTTTGAATTTTTTAAAACTTAAAAGTTATGAACTGGATTCAGGGAAGAATTTTTCTTTAATACATGTTGTTGCTTGCTAAGTCGAGCGAAGAATTAGCAGAAAAAGAGATTTGACACACGAGGTCGAACCTTTGTCGAGTTTATTTGTATTTATGTATTTATTTATTCCATTTGATGGTTTAATACCACAACGACATCAACAACTGAATAAATCTGTTGTGTAAGTCTTATTTAGATAGAGAAGTTTTCATAGTTTTATCTTTTTACACAACTGTTTCTTTAGAAATGCCCACGCACCTCTCAACACTATTTTCTATAATTTTAATAAACCCGTGTCATACACTTSAGCTTAATACACTACTGTTCAAAGCATACTTGAGAATTATATAATTTGTCTCAATTTTTTGTTATGAAAACCACTCTAAA